CCGTGTGCGGCCCGCGTCGCTGCGCGGACAGAGCGAGCGTCTCTCCAGGCACACAGAGAGGAAGAATAACATATTTTAACAGGTGGTTTTGCATCCAGAGAATCTCATAGACTTAGATCGTCCACCCTAATCCCCACAAGAGGCGGCAGGTTCTGGATTGAGCTGCCACAGCCTGTCCTTGGTTCGCGCTGAGGGGCCGGACGGCCATTGTGGACGGGAGACGCTTCCAGGCTCTAGTTTCGTGGCGCTCTGGCTTCTTCCCATTGCCAGCACTCAGGACACACAGAAACAACTCGCTTCAATTTCACTGCTTTTCTTACATCCTTCTGATAGAGATGTCAGTGAGCTGAAAATTGCTGAGGGAGGGAGGATGCGCAAAGGCCAGGGGAAGGCCGAGAAGCCGCAGGCCTGAGTCAGCCGTAAATCACCTGGTCTGATCTGGGGTCGGGGAGGATCGGGGCTGCTGACCGTGGGCACCCGCAGCACATACTCCGGCCGCAGGAGTGTTGCACGCTGGTTAAGTTCAGCATCTGTGGGACAGGTGTCCCGGACGGGGGAGCAGAGTCTGACTCCACCTTGGAACCTGATCCGGTTCCACGTCGGGAGAGTGGTAAGGCCGGGGGAGGGGGGCCCAGAAGGACAGATGGGGTGCTGGCCAGACAGACAGCAGAGCAAAACGCCTTGTCTTCCTCTGCCCAGGTCCCGGTCCCGGTCCCCTCGGAGAAGAGCGCACTCTCCTGAGAGACGGAGGGAAGAGAGGAGCGTCCCCACCGCCTACCGGATGAGTAACAGTCCGGGCGTCAGCCGGAAGCGGACCCGGTCCAGGTGGGGGTCTGTGAGCTCACAGAGTGTGTACAGGAAGTGTGCAGATGGGGCACACGCTTGGAGGCAGGGCTGGGGACACCCGGCAGCTGTCCCTCGGACACTGAGCCCTTCCGGTGTTCTCCTTACTCCAGGACTCCGAGCGCAGGCGGCTCCGTCGTGCCGGGGTCCGGTGGTTTCTGGCACGCCCTGCACCGGCCCCCACATGGAGCCGCTGTGGGCTCCACACGCACCCTGCTGACAGGGAAGGGAGTGTGGGGACACTGGACAAGGGAAGTGAGGGAATGCCTGCTGCCGCCCAGGGAGCAGGTGGCCGTGGGCCGGTGTTCCTGAGCGTCGACTCCTCAGCCACCACGCCTGGCCCCGGGGCCTCTGTCCCAACCAGCCAGCGTCCCCAGCTGCCCCTCCTGGGGAGGGACTCCAAGGCCCCACACGGAAAGCCCCTGCGTCCCTTGAAGGACACGTCCAGGCCATCTGTGCCTCCCTGGGGCACGCGGTAGACAGGCCAGAGCGTGCTGAGTCCTCCCGTCCAGCCGGGGTGCTGCCCGCTGACCGCTTTGCATCACTCAGCCTCTTTGTTTCCGTCCTCCCTGGAAGGGAGCGGCCTCACTGGCGCGTCCCTGTGCGGGAGTCTGCAGCCCCGGCTCCGCCAGCTGGGCGGGGAGCAGCACGCCCGACACGGAGGGGCCCAGAGGGGGCGGGGCAGGTTCCCTACCTGCTGCCGCGGGTGTGTGAGTCCAGACACGCGGGGTCCCTGAACCTCCCCGACCGCAGAGCCGAGTGGCAGGTGTCGAGAGCCCGGCGGTCACCTGCTCCCGCCCTTCTTGACGGTACCTGCAGCGGCCGCGGGTCCGAAACGACGTTTCTACCGGAAACCTGTCCCTGCCATGTGGCGGGTTACGTGACCGCTCCGTTCCCTGGTGAGACGTGATCTCTTGCCCTTCAGACGGCAGTCAGCCGAGGAGCTGCAGGGCTCGCGGGGTTCGGCAGGCGGGCTCGGGCACGCCCGCTCCGTGCACTTGCGGCTGCCGCTTCGTCCCGCCGGGAGCACCGGGGCGGCGTGGCGACAGTGGGAGGGCATTTCCGCGGGTGCTCCCTGAACACGCGGAATCCATCGTCCCCCTTGGTGGACGTAAAGGGCAAATAGACGGTCTCAGGTTAATTCCTCGTAACAAAAGATCTCTCCTGGCAGGTGCTTTCTTGCTCTGCCCTCAAATTAACCTTCACGTTAAATGAGCGATCTCGGGAGAAGGCGCTGGTTTTATCCAGAATCCTGAGACCTCGTGTGCTCACTGCAGCTTTAACGAGTCGTACAGAACAAGTGAGGCTCCGCGCCCAGGCCTGACCCCAGGGGGTGGGAAGCCGTGCCTCGGGCCCCGCAGAGGGCCTGATGTGCCCCGTGCCCCGGCCGTGTCAGCGCCACAGCTGGACGGCGTCCCCTCCAGCCTGTGCGCAGAGCAGCTGCGGGGCCGGTGCCGTGCATGGTGGCAGGTGGCTGATTCCCCACCGAGCCGGGGCTGCCTTAACCCTGTCCGGTCAGCCAGGCCCAGGGGACGGTGCCGCCCCCACAGCTGAAGGATGGCGGCTACAAGCTGATCACTGAGTGCCGCTTTCACTGACTCCTGGCCTTAAATTTTTCATTAAATTTTCAATAGGCAGTCTTTTTTTTTTTTTTAAGTTTATTTATTTTTGAGAGGGAGAGAGAGAATCCCAAGCAGGCTCCACACTGTCAGCG